GTGGAGGACGAGGTGAAAAGAGATGAGGGAGGAGAGCGGCACAGGACGTATCAGAGAGGAAAGTTCTCTGAAGGCCACACAAGAAAGAGGAGTGCGGGGGAGGGGGAAGGCCGACCCCAGGCCTCAGGGGCTGTGGGTTCCCGTGGGGCCGACCCTCAGAACAGGGGGCAAAGGCAGCCCCGGGAGCCACCAGCGCTGGGGAAGAGAGCGCCAGAAGGCACACATGCATGGGATGCCCCATGCAGACGAGAGAAGGTTCTGGAAGCGTGCAGAAGCAGCGTGATCGGGGAGTCCTAGGAAGTGAGGTGGTGGGGCACGTGCATGTGTTGGAGGTGACAGTGGGAATCACAGATGGGTTCCGGAGTGAACAGACAAACCCATCCTCCAGGAACGCGCCCAGCGTCCAGCAGGTGTTTCTGACAGATGCAGGGGAGAGGACAGCGACCTTCTGCCCCTTAGGAAGTAGCCACTTTCTTATTCCCCTGGGCTGCTGCGGACAGGCGTCGGGAGGTCCTGGGATTCACGAAAACCAAAACAAAACCTCGCTGCGGGGAGGAAAGCAGTTCCGATCACCCGGGCACCTTCAGGAGAACGTGATGTTTGTAGACCTCCCTGTTGTCAGGGGTGGGAGTCCACATGTGCATGACCGCAGGTGGCAGAGGTGGGCTGACCGTGTCCTGTGGGATCGTGTGGCTCTCCCGAGCAGCTGTCTCCCATCACAGTGACCTCTTTTCCTCTTGCCCGCAGCCCAGCGGTCCGCCCACGAGCTGCCCATGGTGGAGAGACAGGACATCGACAGCTGCCTGGTCTACGGGGGCCAGCAGATGATCCTCACGGGCCAGAACTTCACGGCCGAGTCCAAGGTCGTGTTCACGGAGAAGACCACAGGTCAGTGCTGGGGGCTCCTGTCCTCTGTCTCCTGCGCTGCAGCAGGGCCTGGCGGGGGGACTCACACCGGCTCTCTTTACTGGCCGTCTTCACCCATGGGGCAGCCACCAAGTCCCAGCTCCACAGATAGGCCACCACGTTTGAACCCGCTGTTGAACGGATACTAAGTTGTCCCCACACTCCTCTCTTCCCTGTAAAGAGGAAAAAAATTCATTTTTTTTTTACATAGATACATTTTTGAAACTTTTTTCCTATTTAGAGGAGAGAAACCCAATGGCGTGGTGACTGAGCTGGCTGAGCTGTGGCCCGAACGCTCCTGGGTTCACGGACAGCTGAGCCCGTTGTCAGGGAAATCACATGAGCTTTTTGGGCCTCGGTTCCTTCCTACATCGACGATCATGACTGGAGTTGTCACCCGCAGGTTGTCATGACGGTGAAACGATAAGTGTCTGGTCGTCACAGCACCAGGCTTGTCGTAGGCCCGTCAACACTTTTACTTTAATTAGTGCCGTGGTTATTCTCACTCTTGGAGGGTAGTTCCTGTGGGGCCTGCGTCTCCGTGGGCATCTTTTTTGTGTACTGAGGGTTGGCTCCCGGCAGCAGAGTCCTTTGGAAGCCTTTAAGTTATGGCTAAGTTCTCTTCCAGAAATCTGCAAACTGAACCTTCCACCACGTCCGCGATCGTTTCTGGCCATCCCAGATGGGTCTTTTTAAAAAAAAATTTCAAAAAGCGGTGTGGAGCCGGTGCCCACCGCGTGCCCCTGCTGAGCGCGGCTCGTATCCTGTTCATGGACGCCCTGGAAACGCTGGGCGAGGGGCAGACTCGGCTGCTGCTCTTCTGGGCGCTGAGGTGACTGACTTTGAGCGTGCTCCCTCCAGCTGAGGTCTGCTGCGCAGGAGAAGTGGTTTGGGTGGAGACGCGGCTGGCGGGGCTGCGGGTCCCCTTTTGTATGTGGAAGCGTTGAGTTGCTGTGCCCTGGGCCTTCCTGGATCAGCCACAGTCCTGCCTCCGAAAAGGCCAGGGGCCCCCAGGAGTCGGCCGCGTGGTCTTGATGACCTGGCTGGGGCCACTGCTGTGGGGGCCATTGACCTTGAAGTCCCTGTTAAAGTCCTGGGAATAGACTTGACTTCCCAGGGCAGCCTCCAGTGGGGGAAGGGAGAGTGTAGACAGCAGGCTGGGGACTTGTCACCTGCCTGGGCAGAGGACTTATAAGGCAGAAGGGAGGGGACAGGGAAGGGTCAGCAAAGGCAAAATCCCTGGAAATCAGGGAGCCCGGGGAGGCAGGACAGTGCTAGGGGGATTCAAGTAACAGCAAGCCTGCTGGCGGTGACAGAGGAGTTGGTGGAGGACGGGAGGTGGCGGGTGCAGTGTCTGTGCCTGGGCGTGGACCATGCAGGCCATCTAGTTATCGCCAGGCATCCTCTGCTCTGAGGGCGTTCGGTAGCCCCTGCCCAGCCCCCGCTCAGTGACAGTATCACTTGCCCAAGTTGTGATGACCAAAAACGTCTCCAGACATTGCCAAATGTGCCCCTGGCTGAGACCTACTGCTGTATGGTTTAGAGGTCGCTAGGGGCAAGGAGAGGAACAGGGTTGAGGAAAGTTCCAAATGGCGGACATCTGAAAACCTCTGCCTGTGCCCGCCCCCAGGCCACACGCAGTTCCTGCCCTCAGACACCTGCACACCCGCCCCAGGCGGTTCTGAGACTGGGTGCTGATGGGAGCGTGGGCCTGACCCGCCACCCAAGGGGTCCCGGGCTTATCACAAGTTTTTCATGTTTGTATTTCAGTCCTGCATCGTGGACATTTATGCAGGTACCTAACGCTCCGAGGGCCTGAGTTTTGACGGTGGCTTTGCATTCCCTCTCCTGGGCCAGTGGGCCTCCTTTTTTATTGAGGCTGCGTGACATTGGGAGGGGTAGGGAGAAAGGCAGAGGCCGGAATGAGAAGTCTCCCGGCGCCAGGAAGACATGGCCTTGGCTTGGTCCAGGTCCGGTCAGGGAACAGGCAGTCCTGGTGGGCTCTTGGGCAGGAGAGCGACGTGAAGTGGAAATGGCCGAGCAGGACCTGCCTCTCCAGACGAGATCCCTCTGCATCACCAGGAAACCGCCCTGCTGCCCTGACAGCAAGGACATCCCTTGAAGTCCCTTTCTGGCTGAGGACAAGCCCAGGTCGACAGAGCCTCTGGGCGGAAGGGCGTGAGGTGGACCCTTCCAAGTCCCCTGGAGCCGGGCCTCAGCGCCCTCTCAAGAGTCTCAGAGCGAAGTGACTCTGAGCTGCCCGAGGGCATCGGTTCGACCCGTGTTGTGTGGCCGGCTGGCAGGTGGGTGGGGGGTGGTTAGGGTTGGGGTTGGGTGAAGGGTCCCAGTCATTGACCTCCAGACGACCTTCAGGTGGGACGGACGTGCCAAGCTGGTTTCAGCTCGGGCAAAGCCGCATGTTGAAAGATGGACCCCACAGGCCCTCGAGAGCCGTGCGTGGGTGGCCCTGGCCTGTGGCTCTGTGGGTGCCACCTCGTCAGCCCTGTGGGTGTCTGGGAGACACATGGTGACACTCTGAGGGGCGGGGGCCTCTCTCATGGGTGATATGCAGCCTTGTCCTCTACTCCATCCCCTGGGACCTCACTTTCCCCTCTGTGAAGTGGACAGTCCTCTGGAGGTGGGCAGCTGTGGCTACTGTGCAGGGTTCTCACCCCATGTCCCTTGTCATTTTTGTGGTCCTCTGTGGACCTTCAGGACCATGTCATATATGGTCACTACATTCTGCTCCTGCACTAGCCTGGGCTGGGCAACCTGTCACTAGTATAGGCTCAGAGGTTAATGGCCCAGGTGTGAATCCCTGATCGGCATTTGGTAGCTGTGCCACCCTGGGTCAGTGGCTATACCTCTCTGAGGCAGCCCTTCTTTTGTCCAATGCTGGTGATTCACTGCTCCTGGGAGGTGAGGGGAGGTGGCGAGGCCATACGGGGTGGGCTCTCTGCACAGGGCTTGGCCCAGTGAAAACGCTCAGTAAGTGCTGGCTTTTATCATTATCATCACTGTCCTTTGGCTGTAGAAGAACAAACATGAGGAAGAGTCCGCCTCACGGAACCAAGAGTCATTAAAAAACAGTAAGAAGTAATAATAACGAGCAGTGGCCCAGCCTGGGCCCAAGCGCTCTGCGTGTGTGAAGTGCTCTGACTCTGGTGACAGCCCCCCACAGGAAGCTGCTGACCTCCAGTGTCTGAGCCTCCGCACAGACAAGTCTAGTAACTTGGTGAAGCTCACACAGCTGGCCAGTGGCAGTGGTGACCTTTGGCTCTAGGCAGCCTGGACCAGGAGCCGTCCTGCTCTGGGAAAGCGGGGGGCCAGGCTGCTTGGCCTGAAGCTCAGCTTCCCCGAAGCAGCGGTTCCCTGGAGCCATCTTGGGACGATAGAGGCCTTTGAATTCTGTGGTTGGCTGGTGTCAGGGAACCTCTGTGCCTTCTAGAGACCCCAGGTGAATGCGCTCCCGGGTGGAGGACAGGACACCAGCAAGGGCGTCTGAGCCACCTGGGGGCCCCCGAGGGCCCAGGCGGCTTCCCTGGGTGGGCGTCACCCCCGGCAGCTCCAGCAGAGCAGCCCGCTGGACTTGCAGGCCGCTGGGCCTGCTCCTGACCCCAGGCGCCCCCCCTCCCCGCCTGGCCACCTCTCGCAGGGGGAATCCCTGTTGCTCAATCTCTTCTTTCCAAAACCGTCCCGGCGCCCATCTCCATGGCCACGCTGGCCGGCAGGGCGCTGCGGGCGGGTGGAACAGCCGAGTTTTCCAAGGGGAACCCCAGCTGTTTCTCGCATTAAGGAAGGTGACAGCCTCGGGGCTAATCTTAGCCCAGCGCTAGGTCATCGGCACCACGGGCTCCAACGTTCTTTTTATAGCTGTCAACTCAAGTGGGATCGGCAGTTTCCACTCCAGCAAGATGACACTGGAGCTGGAAAAACAGGGGGAGGGGGCGCGGCTCCGCGGCCAGGCCGCTCGGTGTTTTGGAAAATGGCATCTTATTTATAGCAGCAGTAATAATAATAGCTTTCGTGTTGTTTCTACTCCTATTTTTAATTATTTTCTTGACTTAGGTGGACCTGTGAGATCTGGCCCTTCTCTGGCTCTTCGGGCCTTGCCCCTGGCCTTGCCCGCTGCAGGCCTTGCCCCTGCCTCGCCAGGTGATGCCCGTCTTGCTGCTCTGTCCTCGCAGCCTGTGCTCCTTCCTGGGGCGGGGGGCTTTGGCCTTGCTCCCAGGACGTTCCTCCACTGTTTCTTTACGAAGCTGCGGCCTCCTGGGCCTCAGGTCGAGGCCTCGTCCGCCCGTCCTCAGGGTGCACCTGCCCGTCTCTGGCTCTCGTGGCACCAAGGTTGCTACTGCAGTCCCCTGGCCCGTTAGCTCCTTTGCAGCCCGGCCTCTGGTGCCAGCCTCTGCTCCGCAGAGAGCGGGGACTTGGCACTTGGTGCTCTGCCCTCAGTGTGTAGAACAGTCCCTGCGCATAGCAGGTGCTCCTTCACAATGCTCAGTGACAGTGACATCTCTCTTGATGCCACTCCAGCTGGGACAGGCAGGGAGCGTCCCCCCACCTTACAGGTGGGGTAACTGAGGCTGAGAGAGGTCAAGCAGGGGGCACAGGCCAGGCCACCGCTGCTGGCAGAGCCGGGGACCCCCAGGCAGCTTTGACCTCCACCCTGGCGTGGTGACCTTGGCCAGGTCAGAGCAGCCCACGGAGCCATCAGTGTCTTCCCCGTGACCACTCTGGGCGATGGCCGAAAGCCACCGCTGCCTTCTCCGAGGGGTGAATATGGCATGACCTTCCAGGCAGGGGTCACGCCGGCCGGGCCAGGCCGCTCCTGACTTCAGTGGGAACCCTGACCCCCGGGCCTCGGGGGAGTCGGGGGTCCCAGCCAAACACTGCAAAACAGGAAAAAATCTAAGGGCACAAAAACACAAGTGACGCCGCAGCGGAAACGGGTTGCCATGGCGCTCGCACCCTGCCCGCCCGGG